TGGAGGTGGGAAGTACAATGCCTGCACTTTAAAGGGGTTTGGTATATTGGCTGTTTGGAGTGATATCTAAACTGTTGTATCTGGGCACCTCTTCAAAAACAGTGATTATGTGTGAATAATGATGAAAGTGTATCTTTTTTGGGTCACCCTGCCTCGGTGGGAGACGGCCGTCCTGTTGAAAAGAAAAGTGAAACTTATGTACATCCTGTATGCATATTTATATAGTCTCTTATACTCTCTATTACAATGATGTACGTTTTCTTCCCACAGGCACATGGAGCTGTGGGAGACAGTATTGTTATCTTTAATCGCTATTGTGGGGGTTGTGGGTGGGATAACCTCCACAGTCACAGCTATCATTGAAATCATCAACCCAGACTCCCTCAGCACCTCTTGCTTCTCAAATTTCAATCTATAGTAAATTAAAGAAATTAGGTTAAGCAATGCTCGTTAGGAAACAGGACAAGTGTTTCCTGACGCTGATCTTAGTTATATGATGACCCACAGCTGGAGCTTTTGGTCATCTGACAGAGACCTTCCACTGTTAAAGAGATTGTTTTTTTAAAAAATGCATATAATACCCACACGTGTGGTAATGAAAGATGGCCAGGATGTCAGCATAGTTGCTGATCCCCCTTACATGTGTTGTATAGCTTATCTGAGTATTATAGTACCATCCATATGTTTTATATATGTGATCCCTTACTAGGCCTAGTGACTGTGTGATGTCACGTGATGCGCATGTGTGCGCGAGTACCTCTGTAACTTCCTCAGTTCACGGTAATGAAAGAAGGCCAGGATGTCAGCATAGTTGCTGATCCCCCTTACATGTGTTGTATAGCTTATCTGAGTATTATAGTACCATCCATATGTTTTATATATGTGATCCCTTACTAGGCCTAGTGACTGTTTGTGTGATGTCACGTGATGCGCATGTGTGCGCGAGTACCTCTGTAACTTCCTCAGTTCACGGATAGGTCTACAAGAGGCAACACACGGCAGGTTGGGCTCCCTTATCACAGTCTGAAACTATATAGTGTTACCATCCAACAAGTGTGTATATCTTCAACCCTCGTTATCTCCTTTCGAACCCCACGACAAGGATACTAATGTTACGCCCCTGGTGAGGGTGAAAGGTAGCCTCATGAAGAATATTAGATCCAATGAAGAATCAAAAGGCACAACACCATGACTGGAACAATACACAAATATTTCCACGTACGAGACTGAACTTGTGACGACATTTCGGTCCGATTTGATCCATTAATTAATGGACCAAGTTGGAGCTAAACGTCGAAAGTTACAGTCTCCTACATGTGGGTAATTTGTATAAAATATTCAATAACACAATTCACAGTTTTGAGAGACTGGGCAACTTACGATACAGAATCCTTGTGAAAACCACTAATGTTGTAAATAGTGACTAAAATTATACACGAATGTTCAATATTTAAATAGGGACTAAAATTATACATGAATGCTGAGTATTTAATTAGGGATTAAAGGTATACATGAATGCTCAATATTTTAATAGGGACTAAAGGTATACATGAATGCTTAATGTTAACCCACGTGGATACTGTACCAGAGGAAGTTGATTGATCTGCATATTTCTACCCATCATGGACTATTGTCATATCTTGCGTAATTATGTACTGGAGTGCCATAAAATTAATACATAATGTACTGGAGTGCCATAAAATTAATACATAATGTACTGGAGTGCCATAAAATTAATACATAATGTACTGGAGTGCCATAAAATTAATACATAATGTACTGGAGTGCCATAAAATTAATACATAATGTACTGGAGTGCCATAAAATTAATACATAATGTACTGGAGTGCCATAAAATCAATGAATTCAAAGACAGCTTACCCAAATATGTTCAAGATATATCAGAGTATTTTATCCACAGTGGTTTATTACCATATATACCTCTGTAATGTTGAGGTACAGTCCCTGGACCCATTATGTACCTCTGTAATGTTGAGGTACAGTCCCTGGACCCATTATGTACCTCTGTAATGTTTAGGTACAGTCCCTGGACCCATTATGTACCTCTGTAATGTTGAGGTACAGTCCCTGTACCCATTATGTACCTCTGTAATGTTGAGGTACAGTCCCTGTACCCATTATGTACCTCTGTAATGTTGAGGTACAGTCCCTGTACCCATTATGTACCTCTGTAATGTTGAGGTACAGTCCCTATACCCATTATGTGCTTCTGTAATGTTGAGGTACAGTCCCTGGACCCATTATGTACCTCTGTAATGTTGAGGTACAGTCCCTATACCCATTATGTGCTTCTGTAATGTTGAGGTACAGTCCCTGGACCCATTATGTACCTCTGTAATGTTGAGGTACAGTCCCTGTACCCATTATGTACCTCTGTAATGTTGAGGTACAGTCCCTGTACCCATTATGTACCTCTGTAATGTTGAGGTACAGTCCCTGTACCCATTATGTACCTCTGTAATGTTGAGGTACAGTCCCTATACCCATTATGTACCTCTGTAATGTTGAGGGTACAGTCCCTGTACCCATTATGTACCTCTGTAATGTTGAGGTACAGTCCCTGTACCCATTATGTACCTCTGTAATGTTGAGGTACAGTCCCTGTACCCATTATGTACCTCTGTAATGTTGAGTACAGTCCCTATACCCATTATGTGCTTCTGTAATGTTGAGGTACAGTCCCTGGACCCATTATGTACCTCTGTAATGTTGAGGTACAGTCCCTATACCCATTATGTGCTTCTGTAATGTTGAGGTACAGTCCCTGGACCCATTATGTACCTCTGTAATGTTGAGGTACAGTCCCTGTACCCATTATGTACCTCTGTAATGTTGAGGTACAGTCCCTATACCCATTATGTACCTCTGTAATGTTGAGGTACAGTCCCTGTACCCATTATGTGCTTCTGCAATGTTGAGGTACAGTCCCTATACCCATTATGTACCTCTGTAATGTTGAGGTACAGTTCCTGTACCTATTGTGTGCTTCTGTAATGTTGAGGTACAGTCCCTGTACCCATTATGTACCTCTGTAATGTTGAGGTACAGTCTCTATACCCATTATGTACCTCTGTAATGTTGAGGTACAGTCCCTGTACCCATTATGTGCTTCTGTAATGTTGAGGTACAGTCCCTGTACCCATTATGTGCTTCTGTAATGTTGAGGTACAGTCCCTATACCCATTATGTACCTCTGTAATGTTGAGGTACAGTCCCTGTACCCATTATGTGCTTCTGTAATGTTGAGGTACAGTCCCTGTACCCATTATGTGCTTCTGTAATGTTGAGGTACAGTCTCTATACCCATTATGTACCTCTGTAATGTTGAGGTACAGTCCCTGTACCCATTATGTGCTTCTGTAATGTTGAGGTACAGTCCCTGTACCCATTGTGTGCTGTAATGTTGAGGTACAGACCCTGTACCCATTATGTACCTCTGTAATGTTGAGGTACAGTCCCTGTACCCATTGTGTGCTTCTGTAATGTTGAGGTACAGTCCCTGTACCCATTATGTACCTCTGTAATGTTGAGGTACAGTCCCTGTACCCATTGTATGCTTCTGTAATGTTGAGGTACAGTCCCTGTACCCATTATGTACCTCTGTAATGTTGAGGTACAGTCCCTGTACCCATTATGTACCTCTAATGTTGAGGTACAGTCCCTGTACCCATTATGTACCTCTGTTATGTTGAGGTACAGTCCCTGTACCCATTATGTACCTCTGTAATGTTGAAGTACAGTCCCTGTACCCATTATTTACCTCTGTAATGTTGAGGTACAGTCCCTGTACCCATTATTTGCTTCTGTAATGTTGAGGTACAGTCCCTGTACCCATTATGTGCCTCTGTAATGTTGAGGTACAGTCCCTGTACCCATTATGTACCTCTAATGTTGAGGTACAGTCCCTGTACCCATTATTTACCTCTGTAATGTTGAGGTACAGTCCCTGTACCCATTATTTGCTTCTGTAATGTTGAGGTACAGTCCCTGTACCCATTATGTACCTCTAATGTTGAGGTACAGTCCCTGTACCCATTATGTACCTCTAATGTTGAGGTACAGTCCCTGTACCCATTATTTACCTCTGTAATGCTGAGGTACAGTCCCTGTTCCCATTATGTACCTCTGTAATGTTGAGGTACATTCCCTGGACCCATTATGTTCCTCTGTAATGTTGAGGTACAGTCCCTGTACCCATTATGTACCCCTGTAATGTTGAGGTACAGTCCCTGTACCCATTATGTACCCCTGTAATGTTGAGGTACAGTCCCTGTACCCATTATGTACCCCTGTAATGTTGAGGTACAGTCCCTGTACCCATTATATACTTTGTAATGTTGAGGTACAGTCCCTGTACCCATTATGTACCCCTGTAATGTTGAGGTACAGTCCCTGTACCCATTATGTACCCCTGTAATGTTGAGGTACAGTCCCTGTACCCATTATGTACCCCTGTAATGTTGAGGTACAGTCCCTGTACCCATTATGTACCCCTGTAATGTTGAGGTACAGTCCCTGTACCCATTATGTTCTTCTGTAATGTTGAGGTACAGTCCCTGTACGCATTATGTACCCCTGTAATGTTGAGGTACAGTCCCTGTACCCATTATGTGCTTCTGCAATGTTGAGGTACAGTCCCTGTACCCATTATGTACCTCTGTAATGTTGAGGTACAGTCCCTGTACCCATTGTGTGCTGTAATGTTGAGGTACAGACCCTGTACCCATTATGTACCTCTGTAATGTTGAGGTACAGTCCCTGTACCCATTATGTACCTCTGTAATGTTGAGGTACAGTCCCTGTACCCATTGTGTGCTTCTGTAATGTTGAGGTACAGTCCCTGTACCCATTATGTACCTCTGTAATGTTGAGGTACAGTCCCTGTACCCATTATGTGCTGTAATGTTGAGGTACAGTCCCTGTACCCATTATGTACCCCTGTAATGTTGAGGTACAGTCCCTGTACCCATTATGTGCTTCTGCAATGTTGAGGTACAGTCCCTATACCCATTATGTACCTCTGTAATGTTGAGGTACAGTCCCTGTACCTATTGTGTGCTTCTGTAATGTTGAGGTACAGTCCCTGTACCCATTATGTGCTTCTGTAATGTTGAGGTACAGTCCCTATACCCATTATGTACCTGTAATGTTGAGGTACAGTCCCTGTACCCATTATGTGCTTCTGTAATGTTGAGGTACAGTCCCTGTACCCATTGTGTGCTGTAATGTTGAGGTACAGACCCTGTACCCATTATGTACCTCTGTAATGTTGAGGTACAGTCCCTGTACCCATTATGTACCTCTGTAATGTTGAGGTACAGTCCCTGTACCCATTGTGTGCTTCTGTAATGTTGAGGTACAGTCCCTGTACCCATTATGTACCTCTGTAATGTTGAGGTACAGTCCCTGTACCCATTATGTGCTGTAATGTTGAGGTACAGTCCCTGTACCCATTATGTACCCCTGTAATGTTGAGGTACAGTCCCTGTACCCATTATGTGCTTCTGCAATGTTGAGGTACAGTCCCTATACCCATTATGTACCTCTGTAATGTTGAGGTACAGTTCCTGTACCTATTGTGTGCTTCTGTAATGTTGAGGTACAGTCCCTGTACCCATTATGTACCTCTGTAATGTTGAGGTACAGTCCCTGTACCCATTATGTACCTCTGTAATGTTGAAGTATAGTCCCTGTACCCATTATTTACCTCTAATGTTGAGGTACAGTCCCTGTACCCATTATATACCTCTGTAATGTTGAGGTACAGTCCCTGTACCCATTATTTACCTCTGTAATGTTAAGGTACAGTCCCTGTACCCATTATGTACCTCTGTAATGTTGAGGTACAGTCCCTGTACCCATTATGTACCTCTGTAATGTTGAGGTACAGTCCCTGTACCCATTATGTACATCTGTAATGTTGAAGTACAGTCCCTGTACCCATTATGTACCTCTGTAATGTTGAGGTACAGTCCCTGTACCCATTATGTACCTCTAATGTTGAGGTACAGTCCCTGTACCCATTATGTACCTCTGTTATGTTGAGGTACAGTCCCTGTACCCATTATGTACCTCTAATGTTGAGGTACAGTTCCTGTACCCATTATGTACCTCTGTAATGTTGAGGTACAGTCCCTGTACCCATTATGTACCTCTAATGTTGAGGTACAGACCCTGTACCCATTATGTGCTTCTGTAATGTTGAGGTACAGTCCCTGTACCCATTATGTATCTCTGTAATGTTGAGGTACAGTCTCTGGACCCATTATGTGCTTCTGTAATGTTGAGGTACAGTCCCTGTACCCATTATGTGCTTCTGTAATGTTGAGGTACAGTCCCTGTACCCATTATGTGCTGTAATGTTGAGGTACAATCCCTGTACCCATTGTGTGCTTCTGTAATGTTGAGGTACAGTCCCTGTACCCATTATGTGCTTCTGTAATGTTGAGGTACAGTCCCTGTACCCATTATGTGCTGTAATGTTGAGGTACAGTCCCTGTACCCATTGTGTGCTTCTGTAATGTTGAGGTACAGTCCCTGGACCCATTATGTACCTCTGTAATGTTGAGGTACAGTCCCTGGACCCATTATGTGTTTCTGTAATGTTGAGGTATAGTCCCTGGACCCATTATGTACCTCTGTAATGTTGAGGTACAGTTCCTATACCCATTGTGTGCTTCTGTAATGTTGAGATACAGTCCCTGGACCCATTATGTACCCCTGTAATGTTGAGGTACTGTCCCTGTATTCATTATGTGCTGTAATGTTGAGGTACAGTCCCTGTACCCATTGTGTGCTGTAATCTTGAGGTACAGTCCCTGTACCCATTGTGTGCTTCTGTAATGTTGAGGTACAGTCCCTGTACCCATTGTGTGCTTCTGTAATGTTGAGGTACAGTCCCTGTACCCATTATGTACCTCTTTAATGTTGAGGTACAGTCCCTGGACCTATTATGTGCCTCTAATGTTGAGGTACAGTCCCTGGACCCATTATGTACCTCTGTAATGTTGAGATACGGTCCCTGTACCCATTGTGTGCTTCTGTAATGTTGAGGTACAGTCCCTGGACCCATTATGTTTTTCTGTAATGTTGAGGTATAGTCCCTGGACCCATTATGTACCTCTGTAATGTTGAGGTACAGTTCCTATACCCATTGTGTGCTTCTGTAATGTTGAGGTACAGTCCCTGGACCCATTATGTACCCCTGTAATGTTGAGGTACTGTCCCTGTATTCATTATGTGCTTCTGTAATGTTGAGGTACAGTCCCTGGACCCATTATTAACCTTAATATTTGTGACTACTGCCCACAGGACGGGTACGGTGTGTATATTATACATATTAAACTAAACTTCTGGACTCTGCTGACGAGGATCCCACAAGAGGATCGAAATATACAGATCAATCAACCTCTTGCAGGAGATGCACAAATTAACATTAAGATCGACAACACTCTAATTACCAGACATAATGAGGGCGAA